TATTTGTGTGGTCTTGATTGGGAACCTGAGTACAGACCCAAATCAAGAGTAAATAAAGAATTTGTTTAGAATGTAAATATTGAAATGATTTGTTGAAATAAATCATGAGAATAATTGATGTGAATTAAATGAGAGAACCTTTTATGAGAAAGGTCAATTAAACCAATTTTGACTCTGTTAAAGTCAAACACCCAAAAATGTGGTGTCGGAAAAAGTATTTCAAATAAATATAAAAATTATATAGTTGGATAGAATTCGACTGTCTGATCGCAACGGTACAAACGGATTTCAATTCGGAGAAAGTTGGACCAAAAAGTGTAACCCAACTGGAACCAAAATTGGTCCCAATCAGGGACACTGTGGAGACGGCGCCTCCCAGCGCACTGATTCATTTCCTACGTAGAGCTACAGCTACAGGACTTGTCTTCTTCTTCCTCACCACTCTATATAAGAAAACCCAACCCAGTCAATTCTTCACCATTTCTCACAAAACTTCTTCCTATTCTGTTGCTCTAAGTGGAGAACACAGTGGTGCCGTCAATTCGGTGAGAGGTCGCCGGAGTTGGGACTAATCGTCGCCGGAAGTTTCGCCAGAAAATTTCCAAAACCTCCGTTAAGCTTCGAAGTAAGCCCGTAGATATATCTAATGACTAGAATGTTGATATAGATCGATTCTACGTTCATAGATGGTCATTTGGTTGAGTTTTGTGTTTGACATACTTGAAGAACTAAGAATCATAAACCATGAAATTGATGTTAAAATTATGAATTAATGATGCTAAAATGATCCATGAACCTTGGAGAACATTTTTATATACTTTAATTGAAGTCTTGGGCAGTAGGTTTTTGAACAGCGATGTTCATTGTTGAACGACGATGTTTTCAAATGACCGTTGGGCTATTTAAGACAAAATCTTTCCATTTTTGAAAGTCAAACACCCCAACATCGATGTAGACTTCTAGACATCGATGTTTTGATGACCGTTAGCCATTTTTAAAGGAAAGTCAAAGCCAAAACAACGATGTTCACTATATGAACAATGCTATCGAGCTAGATTTCAGTAGATCCACTTTAATTTGATTTCCACAAATCAAGCCAATCAACCCAATCTTCTCCCAACCGTTGCACCTTGTTTTTGGGTATAAAAAGGGGTCTCTTGGGTCTACTTTTCACATCCATTCCTCACACATTTCATAGCTTTACATTGCATCATTGCATCATTCCATAAACTTTTTACATAGCTTTTTAGAGCCATTTCTTGAGGAATTGAGTGTGTTCTTAATCTAAATTAGTTTACTCATATTCTACTCTTTAAGAGAGTTTTTGTTCATGAGTGGTTAAGTGTTGTGAACACTTTAAGGGAGGTTTGTTCCCTTGGTTGTACGAAGGAAGGGCAAATTCCTTCGAGTTGAAGTCTTGGAGTGTGGTATCTCCGAGCAAGTGTATTGAGGCTCGCGGGACTCGGGTTCTCAGCTTGTAACGGTTTGTTAAGCACCCGTAAGCTTAACGGAAGTAGTGTAGCTCGAGAGAGTCTCTCGGGAGGCTGGACTAGCCACACGTTGTGGTGAACCAGGGTAAAATCGGTGTGTTCTTTCCTTACGCTTTTTTATTCTGCTCTTTACTTTATCTCTGCGATTTTTATTCCGCGGAAATTTATAAACATTCTCGTGCCTCACAATTCACCCCCCCTCTAGTGAAGGGCACTTATTCCAACAATTGGTATAGGAGCCTAACTCTCTAAAAGCCTTAACGGGTTGAGAGAATGATCTATATTTCTTGTTGAGAATGTTGTATGCAGGATTAAGCGAAGGACACTCCACCGTTAGACCCCCACTCTTCGATGGAACAAACTACACCTATTGGAAGGAATGAATGAGGATTTACATTCAATCAATCAACTTCCAACTGTGGTTAATCATCAAAAACGGTGAGACGATGCCAATGAAAAAGGTTGGTGGAACCACCATCCGAAAGATGGAGGAAGAATATGATGCTGAAGACATCAAGAAGGTAGAAACTTTTGAAAAAGCGAAACACATCATTTTTTGTGCAATTAACCCGGATGACCCCTGGAAAATTTCTTCGTGCTCCACCGCAAAGGAAATGTGGGATAAGCTTGAAGTAACATACGAAGGTACGCCTCAAGTCCGTGAAGATAAAATTGATTTTCTAACCCATGAATATGAGTTGTTTAAAATGAAGGAAATTGAAAGTGTTGATCAAATGTTCGACCGATTTTTAAAGATCACCAATGATCTCCATGTCCTTGGTAAAACATACTCGAACAAAGATCTTGTTCGAAAAATCCTTCGGAGCTTAACACTGGAATGGCGTTCAAAAGCCGATGCCATATATGAGTCGATTGGTAACACCAATGTCACCATCGATGGTCTTCGAGGTAATCTTAAAACTTATGAATCCACTATTTCTAAACCTTATCTTGACAAGAGTCCCGGTCTCGCTCTCAAAGCCTCATCCTCAAAAAGGGTAGAGGTAAGTGACTCCGATAGCGATGACGATAAGCCTTCTTATAACTTGCTCGAGAAGTTCCAAGAGTTTTTGAAGTAAGAACTTAGGTCCCGAGATTGTACAAGAAAGGGGGAACCCGTTCCAATGTGCTTTGGTTGTGGAGAA